TTATTTCTAAATGTAAGGTCAATTAGTGTTATGCCAAGCAGTGAGTTTGGCTGTCCTCAAAAACCTGATATTGTTCTATTTGATATTTTGAATAGAATGCTATGCCATAATATAATTTTCTTAGAGGTAACTCTAATTTGGAAATTCAGACACTGCACAGGGTTCCACCTTCTTCTTTTCTGATGAAGTGAAGTCAACATACTGTATCAGGAATGATATTTATTAACCTCGTTCTCCGGAAAAGTAGAATAATCAAGGAACACATTTGTTTGGACTAAAAATCAAGACAGATTTTATGCAGTAGCAGGCATGAGGATCTATTTCCTCAAGGATTCAGATACCACAAAAACAATTTAAAAGAAAATGCTGGAAGAAAGACAGACAGAGAACCGCACCATAAACTCTGAAGCAGCTGATTTTTTCACTGAGCACAGAAGGGACACGCTAAATTCTCTGGAATGTAGTATTTATGGATTTATGGAATGCTATTTTAGCAAAAGATGATGGGAATTATAATAGAAAAATAAATAGACAAAGTAAAGGGCAGCAAAGTAATGAGATGTGAGGCAGTTAATAAGCAGAGTTAGGGGATAACAGAAAATAAGATTCCTGACCAACAATGTTGCTAAAAAGAGAATTATTCAGGCTATATTCCATTATTGGATAAAACTTTTTTAAGGTATCAAATGATTGCTTTGGTTAGTATGTTCCACAAATAAATGTTTTTTTAGCTATCTTGGTGGATTTGTGAGCTATATCAGTAATAAAGGGAGTCCTGCTGCTTTCCATGAGTTAAAAGTCATAGCAGCAGTTGTTCTGAGGAACGGTGGGGTGGGGGTTGCCTGGAATCACCAAGTTGGGTAACATCTCTAATGTTTTCTAGGGTCCGTTAGAAGTCCCCCCCCCCCAAAAAAAGGCTTTATATTAGCAATTTTAACACTGAGTTTAAGATAATTTGTTCAGGAAACACACATACACAAAATTAATAAAGAATTAAATAAGGGGCTGGCACATGTTTGAAAACAACTTGTTTTATATTAAAAAAACTGACCTTTGTAAATAATTTGCAAAAGTTAAGGGTAGCAGGAAAATCCTTGAATGGAACAGAACTGATTTTCAAACAGAAATGGTCAAAAATAATCAAGTATCACTATTAAAAGTTGCATTTTCTTTCCACACTAATTTTCATTCTAAATTCTAATCCTTGTTGTCCTGTCCATACTTTTGAAGCTATTGCAATACTCACAAAGATGCTTTTTTCAAGAGACAACTGGACTTTCTGGTTTTTCTTTGAAGATGGTGTATGGTGGGGGAATGGAAGGATTCCAGTCAGAGCTGAAGAAGTTCTTGGGTGAGAAGCAAAACATCTTCAAAAAAACCCCAGAAAGTCCAGTTGCCTCTTGAAAAAAAGCATCTTTGGGACAACCATGACCTGGATGACTGAGAATCTCCATAGACATATTGCAATGCTCTTTTTCAGGAGAATCATTGGAAAAGGGGGAACATAAATCAATAAAGACAACATGCTGATTTTTCCAGAAAACATGAAAGAGAAACTTTCCCTAAAGTATTTGGAGACAGAATCAGTCCTTTCATTTTTGCTAATTCCTTATAACGTCCAGGATTTTATAAAGAAAATAATAATTTCAAGGATGAACTTGAAGACACTCAGAAAATTATTTTGAAAGCAGCAAAAACAAAAAATTAAATTTGGACATAGCACCACTACTGAATATTATCTGTGAGTGAACTTGCAATGATTTCATCAGGCTTTTGCCCAAACATTCCAAGGAATATTTCATATAACAAAGTGAAATGCATTAAAAATTTTATTGGGAAAGTGGGCTAGAAAATGAGGTTTTATGTTTATACAAACTCCAGAAGATGTATCTTGAAGAATATTATTAGCAAGATAGCATAAACATTATTGTCAGCATAAAAATCTTCACTCATACCAAACTGAAGAAAAACATTTAATAACACCTAATGTGAGTACACACAGCCCTTTTTAATCAGTAAATCCACAGATCACCAGTTCATTTTTGTTCATTTTCAGACACAAAATCCACAAAGAGCTTCCAGGCTTTTATAATAGTAGACATTGCACCTTCCCTAATCAAATAAGTCAAATTTAAATGAACTTTAATCAAAACTATCTGAAAATTTGATCAAAGTACTAGATTAATGGCTGTATCTTATATTCTCTGTATAACATATCTGCATTTATTTGGAATAGTAACCTAAAAGTCAGCAACTAGCATGTTGTATATATGACACTCATGACTATGAGCTCATTCTGCTTACTATGGCCCAAAGATACAATAAACATTTTTAAAGGACAAGTCATCATGATGTCAATCCTGTCTCTCCCTAACCTTCTACAGACAGATTTTATCCTTAGTTGCTCTGGTGTGAAAAAAAATGTTTTTCTTTCTCCTTCCAACACAAAACTTGTTGTAAGGACAATATAGGACACTAACTACAAGTAAATAGTTAGTCCACTAGTGAGAAACAATGGCAAGAAGGAGATGGGCAGCAGGAAGAAGGCAGGATTGCTTAATTCCTTTCTTGCATCTGCCTTTTGCATCTGAAAAAGATAGTCAAGGAGCGGATTTATAAGCACCTAGAAATACAAGGTTATTCCTAGAAGCCAGCATGGATTTATTAAGAACAGGTCATGCCAAACCAAACTTATTGTCTTTTTTAATAAAGTGATTAACTTATTGGACCAAGGAAATGCTGTGGATGTAATATACTTATTAGATTTCAGTAAGACATTTGATAAAGCAGACCAGAGCCTGCTTGGTAAGATAAAATAATGCGGGATAGATGGTACCGCTTCCAGATGGATTTGTAGTTGGCTGACTGACCACACTCAGCGTGTGGTCCTCAATGGAACTATATGTATGTGGAGAGAAGTATGCAGTGGGGTTAATCAAGGTTTTGTCCTGGACTTTGTAGACGGAGCTCTAGCCCAGAAATAAGAAGGAATTTCCTGACTGTGAAAATAATTAATCAATGAAACAGCTTGCCTCCCAGAGTTGTGGGTGTTCCATTGCTGGAGGTTTTCAAGGAAAGATTGGACAATCATTTGTCTGAGATGGTATGAGGACTATAGGGATCACAATACCTGTGAAACTCCTGATTAACAATTTTATGCCAGCACTAAATTCCTCTCCATGCAGTCTTTTCTCAATATTAATTTCGGAATAAAGCTAGATACTTATTCAGTAAATCAGAAGTTTTGTTTTCCTCAGCCAACTCACAAAACTCAAGCAAGCATTTACATTTTCATAAGGGAGAAAAATAACCAGCCTGTAACATAATTGCAAATTGGAAAGAGAAAAAAGACATCACAGAAGTTAATTTGTGTACCCCTGGTTATATTACAGCGGAAAATTTATGTGCAATGGTTCATAATCACATTGGATTGTCCTCCAAAACATATGTATGCCAAAGCTTGTTTGCATCATAACAATCACAGCTAGTCAATGTCTTCATTGAAAGTCACAAGAAACTAACAGGCACCGAAGTTGTTCAGAAAAGCAAGGCTATCCAAGAATTAGTGCTACATGTACAATAATTCTATCAGCAGAAGATAACCAATTTTCATTGATTTTTTTCCTTGCAGTTACAATTCCTTAAGCATCTAAAAAAATTTTCAGGTAATATATCACATGTTTCTTCATCATACAGCCCCCAACATCCCCTTGACTTCTGAGCACACAAGATTCAAACTGCTAAAATTCAGCCATAAACTATCAAATTACAGGAGCATGATTTACTATTAATCTGTTACTTTGAATTATATATATATATATGTATGTGTGTGTGTGTGTGTGTGTGTGTGTGTATGTGTATGTGTGTGTATGTATGTATGTATATATATATATATATATATATATATATATATATATATATAGAGAGAGAGAGAGAGAGAGAGAGAGAGAGAGAGAGAGAGAGAGAGCAATAGCACTTAGACTTTTATACCGCTTCACAGTGCTTTACAGCCCACTCTAAGCGGTTTACAGAGTCAGCATATTGCCCCCAACCATCTGGGTCCTCATTTTACCAACCTTGGAAGGATGGAAGGCTGAACATATGACCTTCGGATTGGATTTATATAACAACAGCAACAGCAACAACAAAATAAACATTAGTAATCCTCTCTGCTTCTTTAAAAGAATCTCCTTGCACACTGGTACAATGTCATGATATCACTTACACCCTCCTCAAAAAAGAAGAGAAGCTCAAATTCTCAAACGGTTGTCCAGGATTAGGATTACGGTAAAATTAAGATTAAAGGTAGATTTAGGATTAGGGGTGGTTATGAGGCTGCAAGGGGAACCTGTGAAAGTTATTTGCTATAATTGGAAGGTGTCATTCTTTAAATGGAAAGGACCTGTTGGATTGATTACACCTATGGTTTATCTCTCGATGTTTGACAGAATGGAGAGACGTAATGGAAGAAAAGGTTTTCTGACAAAATAAAGGGATGGGATTCATTCATCACAGTATCTGAGCTATATCTGAGTATCTCCAGTATTTTTATCAGGTTTCCAGGTTCAATACAGAGAAGTTGATACTGAGGCAATTTAAGTAGGTACAAAGTATTCTGTGAGATTCTCTCAAACCACCTATTTACATGGTGAAAATGATTACTTTGACATTTGTTGTTCAGCTGTTGGGGTAACAGTTGAACAACCACACAGGAGAAATATAAGGCTTTGAGATCCATGCAGCAGTGCCAGCCAATTTGTGTGTGTGTGTGTGTGTGTGTGTGTGTGTGTGTGTGTGTGTGTGTGTGTGACTATAATCAGACTTTTTGGATTGACCATCTCAACTAATTTGGGAACTCCTCAAATCCCCAGTCAGGATTTTTTTAAAGATTTAGTTTCAATATACCTGGAAGAGACCATTTAAATCATAGTTACAGAAAACAACTTCAAAGTACCTATATAATTTCAGGAAAAAAATGAAGAAAAAGCAAAGATACATACTTTCTGTTCCATGCACAGAACCCAGTGAAGTCTTTGGCTTTTTGGTCTTCTTTTCCATTGACTTTAAAGACTCTAAAATTGGAAACAGGTTGTGGAGGGAGGTTAGAATAATTAAGAATCAAATCACCATTTTGAGTTAAAGAGCAATAACTGAAATGGAAAAAGAAGTCTGATTTGTATTTCATTTGATTCTGATTGGGCTAGAAAGCAAATGGAGCTTGTTGGGTGTTGTGATATTTAAACGAAGAGGATTTGGACAGGCTACATTTTGAAGAACAGAATGAAAATAGTTTTCTTTGCTCCCCAGGAAATGTTACGATTAGAACTCTTTAAATCTCTAAATTTTAAACATCCATCTTATTACTGTACTCAAAGCATGCATGCAGGTTATTTGGGTTATGTCCCATGTGGAAGGTTGTTTGCTATGAAAACATAGGAATCTGCTGAAGAGGACTTAAAATGAAGGAGTTAGGAAAAATAAAGTCTATTGAGCTAATGCTGAAAGAATTTATCAAGTTTCAGTTTTGGAGTAGAGCCACATAAGCCGATATCAGGGTTTTATGCTAAAGACTTTAGGAAAAGCAAGACTATTTGCATGAAGATCACTCACACTGTATATGTTCTACTCAAAAAAAGATGTTTGTATCTCTGTATCATTGTAAAAACTTAGTTAACCAGAACCAATAGTGAAACCAACAGAGCTTGTACATATACTATTAGAAGATAAAAGGTGGAGGTAAAGGTTCCCCTCGCACATATGTGCTAGTCATTACTGACTCTAGGGAGCGGTGTTCATCTCTGTTTCAAAGCCGAAGAGCCAGTGCTGTCCAAAGATGTCTCCATGGTCATGTGGCCAGTATGACTAAATGCCAAAGGCGCACGGAACGCTGTTACCTTCCCACCAAAGGTGTTCCCTATTTTTCTACTTGCATTTTTTATGTGCTTTCAAATTGTTAAGTTGGCAGAAGCTGGGACAAGTAACAGGAGCTCACCCCGTTACACGGCACTAGGGATTTGAACCTCTGAACTGCCAACCTTTCGATCGACAAGCTCAACGTCTTAGCCACTGAGCCATCGTGTCCCTATTAGAAGATACATTCAAGCAAAATAATGTCTTCTGTCTTTTGAAATAATCTTACATCTTTGATTGCTCTAAATAGTCACTGGTGTGCTTACCTGTGGCAAATAAAAATCAATTTCAAGCATTCAAAACAAAACAAAGCAAAACAAAACAAAGAACACAACACAATATTCTACTGGATGGAAATGACTAATCTAATATATAGGTCTGGTCAAGCAAGTTACTAACAAGGGCACATGCTACAGTAATTTTGATGAACATGAACTGATCTAGGTTTGGTAAGTGCTGGCTGGAAACACTATGTCTGATACTTGAAATTCTATGGGGAAAAAAGATACAATGTAATTTTAAAATTTAGTGCCTCTTTACAAAACAATAGCTGCCTTTATTTCCAGTACAACTTTACAAACAAAATCAGTAACAAAATATTGATATTTTTAGTCTAAATTTAAAACAAAAATGATAATTATTCTGGATATGAGCTACTGTTAACTTCTCAAATTTCTATTTCAAATATTATGGAAGGATTGGATTTGGCAGAATTTAATAGGATAGCAAAAAACTCATTATTAGCGGCACCTCATTATACTGGCTGCAACGGTATCCTATAAATATGAATCTTTACTTCTTTGTATGGTAAGTGGCTACCTAATAATAAAGTAATGAAAACTGAAGAGTGGAGTACTATGGTACTGTTCTAATTTCATTGTGAGTAAAAGTGACTAATGTTCAAAATAAATTTGCATTAAACAACTGCAAGAGCTAATTTGTTCTAATGATGCAACATAACCTTATAAAGACACTGAGGATCTTGCTACGTATCTTGCAAAAGCTAGGCTTTTATCTAATGCCGTTTGCCAAGATTTTAAATTATCTTCAAATGGCTTAAGAGTTACATGTGAACAGAAAGATGAATTGGGGACACTAAAGAAGGAACAATGGGGACAACCAATATATCTGTGACTAATAACAGGATACTGAGAACTGACATTCTATCAATGTCTTTGGAATTTAGTACAGCCTGTTTGGACAGGCTGTTCCCTGTCCAATAGTGAGCAAGATAGGAAGGCCAGGACCTGAAATAAAGCAATTGTGATGAATGGAACAACTGGTTTTTTAAAAAATCAGGAATTCATATCTGCCTTGAGTGTCGTCTGCACAATTTGTTGTAAATTAGTCAGCATTGTCTGTGGAATGTACAGGTAGAGGACCTTGGTGACTACAGTTGTATTGTTCTACACACAGAATGATTTCTGCTGACACAACAATTTTCCCTCACTTACCCCTCAAGGCACTTCCGAAACCTGTAACTGGAAAACTACATGAAATCCCACTATAGGAGCAAAAAATCTACAGATAGTCCTCGTTTAGCGACTGCTTTGTATAATGAGAGTTTGCAGGTATGACCATGATGAAAGAGTAACTTGACCAATCATCGCATTTACAACCTTCACAGGTCTGTAAAGCAAAGGAAAGCTGAACTAGGGTTTCAACGCAGTCACAATTTCACTTACCAACTGCTTCACTTAAAGACCAAGTTGCTAGTTCCAACTGTGGATGCTAAATGAGGAGCACTTGTACTTGTGTAATGCTTTTCTTCTTTCAATAGTCTAAAACTAAAACATCCAATGATACTGACTGTCAATGAATTCAGAACAGATAAGAGGAAATCTAAAATGTGTAACGGATCTACAGTCTAGTGCCATTGGATGTGATAATGGGTTTAAAAACTAATTAGATAACTAATTAATGAAATGCCTATGAGGGACTATTAATTATGATGATGATTATATGGAACAATCAGATTTGAAAAGAATGAATTGCTAAGAACAAATTTGGAGCAGGATTTCATATTGGGATTTACTTAGTTTTACGTTAATTTGTTATATCTTTTACTTTATAAGCAGTGTATGACTTAGCATGATATCTGAATCCGGCCAAATTGTCCTATTTGATACAAACAATATTGTGATGGATCAAGAGTGCAAATATTAATTTTGTAATTGACAGAGTAGCCACCGCCAAACACACTCAGTCTAATAAACCCCAAAAGAGAGGATGAATTCTAGCATTTTGAGCTAGATCAGGTCAGGAAACAGACATCACATGAACTACTGAAACTCTTATTGTTTTAGGTTATAATAAAAGAATCTTGAAAACTGACATAGATTCTCTCTCTTCCCACTTACACTAAAGGGAATCAAAGCAAGACAATCTTAAATGTTTTCCTCCCCCACCTCCTTTTGCTTATCTGGGCTAAGTTGAGGTTTATATGAATTCCTTCTCCAATGTCATCTCCAAACTACTTTATAGAACACAATAATATAAATTGCTCTAAGTAAACAGGGCAAAAGGCAGGATTTAAGTAAAATAAAATTAATATACAGACTAAATAAAAAAGTCTTAGGGATAATCTATGCTGCCACAAAAGTTACATGTTCTTTGATTTAAGCTTGAGTTGGTTTTGCATTAAGAGTGGTGGATGAAAACTAGCTAAGAAACAGGCATGCCCAGAACAACAAAAAAGCACAGGCTCTGTTCATTATTTTCTTGGTTGATAAAATTTCTATCTCAGTTCCAATTCAACAACAAAGCACTAAAACAAGAAACATTTCACTTGTTTGTTCTTCATTTCACCTGTGCTATTAGTTTGTTACTATTAAATCTTATCTTTGGTGCAGTAGCTCATCATTTGGTTAAACTGCTCCAAATATAGCTGTTTCTTTGGTACAGAAACAGTCTTGATAGTTGTATTCCATAATTGTATTAATAATACTGACAGGGTTTTAAAGCAAATTCATATTTGACAAAATTTTGGCAGCACGGAGAGTTTTTAATTGAAGCACAATATGGACACATGATGGTCTGGTTCAATGTCCCATTCAAAAGCCATTAGTATGGAAGGCATATGGACCAGGAAGAAACTAAAAAGAAATGCCCTCCCCTTTTTGCATAGTTTTAGGAATGGGAATCACATAGAAAGGAATTGGAATTTTGACATAAACAGAATTGGAATAGTACCACTTAAGAACAGTTCTGAGTCTTGGGTCAATTTACTTACCTTCCACCAAGACGCTGCAAATGCATTCTGATTTCCCTGCAGTATTCTCAGCTATGCATTTGTACTGGCCGTCATCCTCAGGAAAGGCCTTGTCAATGGTCAGGGAGCACAATGAGCCTAAGGGAAAGCAAGAGACAAGTCCTAGACATGTAATGATCAAAATTAAAATGAACTCTACTCAACGAAGTATTGATAAGACCAAAACCATAATCTAACCATAGCTCCCAACATAAGAGTGTGCCAAAAGGTTGGTCTTACTTTTGATTCAGGGGTATCTACCGTAAATTGCACGGAAACAGATTTTCAGAAATTAAAGATGGTTCTATGATGAAGACATCAAAATCTTTAATGCCTGCCTTTATCTCTTCTTTTCCAGTGCAAGTTCAAGTCAAACAACTTTGGTTTAAAACTACACATGTTCAGCCAGAACACAGAAAGATATAAACAATTCAAACAATATCCTTTGCTCTGGTTGGAATTATAGCACCCAGAAATTCCAAATAACATGACTGTTGACCATGAAACTATTCCTATAGATTTTGCTTCCTTTTGATTTTGGAAATCAAAATTTACAAATCCTACTGTGTTTTCGCCAGTGTTCATAAACCTAGTAGCCTTCAGATTTGTGGGAGCATCCCTCAACATCAACTATGTTCCTAGGGTTGCTAGCAATTATAGGTTAAGAAAATCTGAAGGACCATATGTTTTGCATCCCTACTCTAGAAAAAAGTCATTTGAATAACATGTTATTATGTCAACACTTGGGTAAAAAATAAATCCACCATGACCACTCAATCTAGTTTAGAAATTAATAGAACCAAGTCAATTCTGATTGTTCACTATATTACAAAATACCAATTTCTCTCTCTCTTCAAAAATCAGGACAGAGGATGTTCACTTTAGAATTAAAAATATCTGATGTTCCAGGCTTTAATTATGCACAAGTGTTTTCCTTAAAGTACTTCAAGTAAATGTACAAACAAAAAGCAAAGCTAGCTATGTTTACTAAGGACACAACATTTTCCAAAAAGTCTGTGACCTAGGCAATTGCTTCATTCCCTGGGCTGGGAGACCATATGTCTCTCAATGAAACATTTGGTATTTCCTCCACAAAAGCCCTTTGTTGACCTCCAGAGATGAGATTCTTTTCTCATAGTTCTGAGAAAACTCTGTCTGGTGACTCTAGGCCGGAATTCTGAATTTCTTGGCACCTTACAAAATAAAATCCCAGGAGAACAACAGCATTGCTGCAAAAATTGATCTACCCTTCCCTGATCTGTTTATATAGCTGTCGGCCAACAAATAGTGGGTTATGAAATTTATATGTCTGAAATGAGCACTGCAATGTTTTCAAGCAACAACTTCAATACATTAGGCACGACATGGTCAAAATATTTATAGCTAGAATTATAACAGAACAAGTTTCCCAATGCTGTGGGAAGGATCCAATCTTTCATAGACTTTATAGCATAAGCTATAGGCTCAAACACTCTTTAAGACACTCTTGAGTTTTGGACTTATTTGAAAGTGATGTTTAGTTTAACTGAAATAGTACAAACTTGGCAAAAGATTTCCAGTTCTTGCCAGCTTGATAGTCAGTTGTCCTCAAAACAAATATGCAAAGCATCAAAACAGGGTAGATCTTGTGTTTTACTTTTCTATCCTGGTCAGCAAAACATGTTCCCTCTTCCAGCTGTAATAACTCCTGCTATGTACCTCAAGGAATCTAAAAAAAATTATTGGGATGCTGAAATCTGAAAAACAATTAAGGCTGAGGCATACAATAACCAAAGTTGGGAATTTAAGTTCAGATATCTTTTCATATTATGCATTCCTGTTGAAGTATGGTACCTTATTTTAGCACCTACTTATGGCAAGTATCTGATGCAGTTATATACCAGTTTTACAATACAATACCCATTTTGTATTCTGCAAAAACACATTAATGCATTAAGGCCCCCACGGTATACTGTTCCATGAATTAATAAAGAACAATATTTTTCACAAGTAAGGTTCTAGCTCTCGACCTTAAATATTTAAAGTTTTTAAAAGTCAAATGTTCCTTCTGCCATTTCTTTCTTGGCTTTTAATGGTGTTTGCAGTGGATAAAGCATCAGAGTTCTACTTGTTACAAAAGACTGGGTAAGATGATAAAACTAAGGAAAAAAGAGCAGCAAATGAGCAACCTCATTTTGCACATTATTGATGCACTGAGAGACAGTTCCCTATTCTCCAAATTATAATTTGATAATCTTTGTAGAAGGTGTAGCTTATACTTGTTCTGCATACTGATTTCTGCTATAACATTGGAATCAGCTGAGATATCTCTTTTTCCACAAGGACTATTCCCAGATCTACTCGTTCACAGATTATGGGGAGGATCTTGAAAGAAACTCTTATGCTTTTTTTTTTTTTGTTAATTCTAAAATTAGCAAAATTCAGATGAAGGGCAGAAACATCTGTTCAGTAAAGCTAGAAACATCAAAGAATTTAGAAAATTATGGTCCCAGCTGGTCAGGAACCAGAGCTACCCAAACTCCCACTAAGAAAGCATCTGGCAATGCAAGCAAGATCCTGAGAATTAGCAATTCATCATTACATGTGACATCCAGTGTTTCTAAAATAATTCTGAGTTTCCAAATGTGTAAAAAAAAAAATCTTACTATTAGGATTCATTTTCTCTTTTACAGTATATGCTAGGGTAAAATTGATGCAGAAATGCAGAACAAAATTCTACATGCTATTTTTAAAGCTACTGGCCATCTCTTGTATATGGTTTTGAGAAAATGGGTGTACAGAATATATAAACATACAGAACACAAAGTTCACTCATAGAACTTTTGTGTGGTTTTGTTAGAGGCTATCAGTTTTGGAAAAACAAGTATTGTACTGGAACATATACATACTGGGCAGTAGTAAATTTCAAATCTGCATGCGCAGAGTGCTTTTGATAACATCTGGGTGGGTGGGTGGAGCCTCCTGCCACCGCCACTACCAGTTAGCCTGCGCATGTGCAGAAGAAGCTTCTGCACATGCGCAGAAGTGTTTTAGTGACGTCAGGGTCGGTGGGAAGAGCCTCCCACCAGTTTTACTACCAGTTCTATAGAACCGGTGTGAACCGGGGGCAACCCACTACTGCAACCCCCCACTGATACTGGGATTATTTTCCCTCCTCAAAAAAACAAGGCAATGCAGGAATATTCCCAGATCATTTTTGAATAAGAAACATCTCTCAGATAATCTTTAAATTTACCAAATGGTATGAATAATTTATTTTTATTTCTTTAAAAGATTTGTAAGGCTTAAAACACAACTTTGTTTTAACACAACACATCTTAAAACACAACTTTGGGTTGCTCATGACAATAAAAATCCCAAGCTATAAAAATCATAATACACAAATAAAACCATAATATACAGCCAAAGCCTTAGTCATTCCCTTGAGATGCCCCAACAGCCAATCCAAAACACTCTCTCTGTATCCCTGCCTTTTTCCTGGGTAAAAAGCTAAGCCTTGATGAGCTTCTGGAAAATTAGGAGGGGAAGGCCTGCCAGTTCACCAGGGGGAGGATATTCCATATGGTAGAGGCAGCCACACACAAAAAGGCACACTTCTGAGGTCCCTCTCAATGGGAGCATTTCAGGAAAGGGACTGAGGTATGCCTACTAGCCTATCAATCTGCTAAAATGGGCAGACACTCTCAGAAAAGTTGAATAATCATGTCAGAATAGAAAATATAATTCTAATTCATTTCCCCCAGCAATCATTCTGTAGTTACTGATTGCTAAAACAATTATGTATAGAAGAAATCTGGTTAAGGAAAGACTGGCATATGAAAATTGATAGCAGAACCTTCGACTTATAATTTTTCTTGAAGAAATTAGCATTATTATTGGAATTAGATCGAATAATGTGGATAAGTAGTATGGGCCCTGCTATAAATTGAATATCTTACTTAGTTAATGGAATATCTTTTTTTTTTTTATAGATGAAGATTAGCTCTCTTTTACAATCCATTTTAGGCTTCTGAATTAATTGGCAAAGCAGAATCCATGGCATTTCCATAAAACTTCCCCTAAACAGGGGAAATGGATAGGGCTACTTCATATTTTGTAGCCTATATTCCAGAAATACTGTAATTTACTCAACATGTAAATTCTCCCAACTAAAAATTAAATTAACAAGCCCAAACCAAAGGAATACAATAGCATTTATTTTTTTAACCTTCTCTATTCTATTTGTCACTCCAGTCTGAAAACCCTGAGTGCAGTGGTGAAATCCAATTTTTTTTACTACCGGTTCTGTAGATGTGGCTTGGTGGGCATGGTGTGGCTTGGTGGGCATGGCTTGGTGGGCATGACAGGGGAAGGATACTGCAAAATCTCCATTCCCACCCTACTCCAGGGGAAGGATACTGCAAAATCCCCATTCCCTCCCCACTCCTGGGGGAAGGATATTGCAAAATCTCCATACCCACCCCACTCTGGGGCCAGCCAAAGGTGGTATTTGACGGTTCTCCGAACTACTCAAAATTTCCGCTACCGGTTCTCTGAACTGCTCAAAATTTCCGCCACCGGTTCTCCAGAACCTGTCAGAACCTGCTGGATTTCACCCCTGCCTGAGGGTCTTATGTAATCTTGAATACAGGAGTAAATTTAAAAATAGTAATAACTAGGAACAAAAAATGACTAATACCTGTAACTACTTCCTACACTTCAGGTATTTTTTTCCCAAATGCCCTCCAGAAGAGCTGTATTTTTCAGTTATTTGACAACTTAATAAAGAGACAATTTGAATATTGCAGGGAGATTATTCCAGATGAGTCGGGGAGACCTTTGAGAAAGCTCAACAGTGAGGATGGCATTCCTCAAATGGCAGATCTCACTAGACAAGAACATTCCACTTAGAGGAGGCAGCCTCAGAAGTACCCATGCCTTAAGGGCTGTAAAGAACATAGTCAGATCCTTGAATTGAACCCAGAAGCTACCTGGCAGTCAATGCACACCAATAACAATATGACTTTTGCACACTGGACTAGTTGCAGTTTCTGAATGGTCGTCAAGATCATCTCCATGCTGTACAAATTGCAATAATCCAGAGATGAGCATGAGTAACT